CAACGCTAGAAACCGGGTTTCGATACCGTGGTGGGCAGAGCACAGATAGCCCATTGTGTGTAGCTTTGTGCTTAATTTCAAACAAACAAACCATAATATTTTGAAGTGTGCCAGTGAATCCGCCCACCCTTAACAGAAAGCACCCCAAAACCACGAACACTTAAACCTTAAACTACATTTTTGAAGTTCGTCATATAGTAATAAATAGTAACACATTCACCGAAGCCCTGAGTGACAATATGGATGATAGGATAACAGTGTGATCCCACTCTTCCTTACTGATCCGTTACAGCTTCTCGATAAGGACTGTTATACACCATTAGAGTCACAGATTCCTGAGTCGAGTGTTATTGCCACTAGAATTGTTTAAGAGGTTTGGTTAATGTTTCTTTGTATTTGTTACAACGTGACCACTGACACCCAATAAAGACTAATTCATAGAACATCAAGTGTCATTTCCAGTTTTGTTATCTTAATTATCGACGCGTTTCTAAGCCATTAATTTCTCCTCGAGAGGCTCGGCGGTAAGTTTGTGCGTAACTAAGCACAAAGCTAGAATCAACAACGCTTACAACGCTAGAATCCGGGTTTCGATACCCATGGTGGGCAGAGCACAGATAGCCCATTTTGTAGCTTTGTGCTTAAATACAAATACACACTAGGTTTGTTTGTTTGTTTGTAATTAAGCACAAAGCTACACAATATCTGTGCTGTATCGAAACCCAGTTTTTAGCGTCGTAAGACCGCAGACTTACCGCTGTACCACACTCGGAGTCCTTTCCTAGTGATTAATTTTCCGTGCTTCGATCAGGAGGTGCAAGGTTCGAGCCGCGATATGTCAAACACACTTCACACTTTTTTACTGTGAAAATCAGCACCACTATTCAGTTAAGAGTGGCTGCTCGCCCCCTCTCTAGCCAGAAATTTTAACTTAGAATTTACTACGCCTGAGCCTAAGGGGTCTCTGGCTAGCCATTTAGCCCATGTGTCGTAAGGTGTCGTTCAGGTTGAAAATACCAAACCCCCAAATATGTATCTCACTTTAAGAATCCTCCGATGAGTTTGAGGTAAGTTTACGGACTTACAGCCCCCCCCCCCCACTTGGCACAGCGGTATGTCTTCGGAGTTACAACGCTAGAATCTGGGGTTTGATACTCGTGGTGGGCAGAGCACAGATAGCCCATTATGTTAAAACAACAACAACAACACTTCATGAAATTGCTACATTAGGACTTTATATCCTAAATAGTTATCAGGACATCAGATGAAATTTTTTATAGCCTGTAGGTTGGTTAATAAACCTAGAAGCTCATAACATACTGTTTCATCCCCGAAATTGTGAATCTTCATAAAGGAATATTCGCTTGATAAGAAACTATACCTGTTTTTTTTATTACATGGCATACTTCTTTGGAAACCAACTGGACTCTACCCTGTAATCGACTTACAATCCG